GCCAGATTTTTAGCATCAGTATCGTCCTCCAGCTTTCAATATTGATCATGGTAGAGGTGCATTCATTGCAGATCCGGTTTTTCATTGTCAGTATATGCAAGGACTCCTTTATTAGCAGACCTAATTTAGATTGGTCTTTGTCTATGACAGACACATTGGTCTGACTGAAAGAATGTCTATCATTAAACGCATACTGGACAATTGTCAGCCTGTCCGAGGTGCTGTTTTATACGGATGTTTAATTTCCGGTTAGTCCATTTCCAATGTACATCTTGTCGCAGCTTCTGCACTGAACATTGTATTCCACGTTTAACACCTCTTCAGCATTATTAATGGCTTGTTCATACGGCCCAATGTTTTGCCAGTCTTGCAGTAGACTCTAAACCCCATATCATGACAGTAGCTCGTGATAAGTTGAGATACCTGGGGTCTGAAAGTAAGTAAGATTACCATTGGTCCTTATGACCTGGCCAACTTTAAATATGAGCTTGGTTACAAAAGTTTTTCGTCAAGGATCCCCCTTCGATAACCGTTCTTAGAAACGTTTGGTGAAGATCGGAGAAGTTGGATGTCTGCGTCTAGGCCAGAAGTGATGAAGCAGTACTGTTGGACTCGATCTTACGTTTGTTGCTTGTCTTCTATTCGGTCTCCTGCGGAAGTGCATCGTCGTTGTACTGACCCCGTCCGATGTCAACTCATCAATAGTTCGTGGTTTTCGCTCTTGTTGCGACGAAGAAACAGGGTTGAGTGCCAAATTGTTCCGCGGACCGTTTGTTGATTTCTAGGAAGTACTTGTACTTGAAACATGTTTACAGCAGTTGTCTGTAAAATGGCATTTAGCCAATTTAACTTAGTAGCACAGATCCAAACCTTTGGCCGTAAAATTTTCTAATTCAAATGACATATTTCGCGGGATGCACTTATAGTCGGTAAATCTTTGCAACTACGCTTAAAGAACAAGGCACAAGATTAACGAGTTTTCGTTAAGATCGTTAAAACGTCTTAGTTAGCTAGATCGTAAATGAGGGCATGTGAAGGGAGCAATTGAATTTTGTTCATTAGTCAAAGTCAAGGGGTCTGTCTGCAGGGTTTTGCCAGTTGCCCTCCTGTTTCATGACGTTTGGTCCAACGCATAACAATGAAGAGTGAAACCGGTGTGATACCTCTCAGAGAAGAGGTCGGTTCATGTAGGCGGGAAAATTCGTTTCACAATCGCGCACTCCTTGAACAGCTTTTTCATCTCATCGAAAAAAACTGACATAAGGCGTTGTACAATGTTCTGGTGTTTTTTCCAATCGTCATTGACGTTCGTTAAAGAATATCGCCTGTTTAAGAGGTTGCTTTTCCGCCGATCGGTAACTTGACATAGAAGTGTTACGCCTAGTTGTATTCACTGTCCATCGCTGCTGCTCGAAGCGTCACGGTAGTGACAGTCGACGTAGACGTACGCGTGCGATCACCCGATCAGCTGTCGGTCTGTGTCCATTGTGGGGGGATTGTGAGCGATGGGTCTTTTCAGCGAACGACGGCGATCATCACCCGGCAAGTCGGTCTCGCTGTCCCCCCATCTCGGTGTCCCCCTCTTGCTGACGTTGACTCTACCCGGTTTGCGTTACCTCGGAGTAACTGACGTCATCGTCGATATATCACTCAACGCGGATGAGTCAAGTTTAAAGAAGGCAGGCGTCAGCTGACTGAGTGCATCCAGCCGCTGCCGGTTGCAACAGGCCTGAGCGTTGGAAAACGAGTTTACTCGGAAACTGCGAGGACGACCGTGATCGAACGCGATGCGCATTCCCAGACATACACTTAACATTTCAGACTTCGGGTTCGTCGTTTGTTCAGCTTTCACCGGACAGCAGCTTCGTAACAGCGACTAATGTGGAAGTTGATCTGGCATCCAACGCAGACCGTGTGACTTGATTTCAAACCACTTTCTAAATACGGCTACGTATTGACAGAAACTGTAATACAGAAAAACTCACTTCTCTCAAAACTCTCCGTTCCAAACAAGTCACTAATTTGGTCCGAAACCTCATCATCCCACAAATTTGGTTTCAACATAGCTCGGAAGTTGTGCTCTTCTATAAATTATGTATGAACATGAGACTGCAGATGTCGTAGCATGCGCGGACATGGAAATTACACGGGTACTGGCCAAAATGGGAATTTCGAACGAGTAGTCAGACTGTACATTATCTTGCCACATAACCTGCGTTCCTACCTTTTTAGCGATGGTACCACAAAAATATAAAAAGAGTAGGAAGCGGCTCCCTCAGGCTCCTTGCAGCTTAACCGTTCATCTTTAACTACGCGCTCCTAAGCTTCATACGGAAAGATGAAAAAGACTGATTTATTATTATTTTTCTTTTATTGACGGATTTACGCGGTGTATAGGCACCGTCCCGTTGTTTCAAGCGGCCTAGGGGACAATTTAAGCAGGCCACGGCTCAGTGGTGTTTTAGCACCTGTAGAGCAGGGATGTAAAACCGCTGACTGACTTTTAGTGCTCTTAAAATTCTCGAACATCAGACGAGGAACGGAGGATAAAATTGCATACAAGAATTCCAGTTATCAGAATTTCGGCTCTCTGACATCTCGTGTCTTCCGTCATGTCAACATCACTGTAGCTGTCATCATCATGTTCGGTATCATAGTCAAGGATCGAGTACCCAGATTAATTATATCTGATTCTTTGGCTTTTCAGAATGATTTAAGAGATGTCGGCTGCTGCGACAAGGGTCATATTACTTGTCGAAAGCCACTCTGCCCCTTGCAGCTGTTTAAGGGTGCGATTTTGGCCTCGACGCACCTGTGGCCGTTCTTTGTTTCCCAAAGGATAATGGTTTTTTGGCAAGTTTCCACACTCTCTGGATGATTCTCTCAAATCACGACAGACGCTGATCCCTGATTTCCTCAGACGGCGTTTTCAGACCGATGTCTCCAAGATCTATGGAACAATCGCACTTTAAGAATGTTCCGCAGGCAGCGCTGCTGAAAAGTGTCCAACATCCTTGCATGGCGTTACGAAAGAGTCTATGTTTCAAGGCTGTACATCAGGACTACGAAGACGCCGCTTTCGGCATGGTGATCTTTGTTGCTGTCCGGATAGAACGGTCTTGTCATACTTTATAAAGTCGCCTGAAGATCACAGTTGCCTGCACTAAATGCCGATCTACCTACATATCGCAGCTTTCGTCTCTTGGCAGTACAAAGTTGGTGAACTCGAAGTTCTCCACCTTCTCGATGGACTTTCCAGTCCATTGAATCTTCGGGTCATTAGTCAGATCAAGTGTACGAAAAACCTTCGTTTTGGTGGGGTTAACTTTTAGACCCGTCGTCGAGGCCACCGTACACTCTTGCCGCGTTGGTGCCAGTAAGCCACTGGCGGAGTCGCTCAGTAGTACAATGTCGTCAGCGTACTCGAGATGTGTTATGACTACTGCTGGGTACTTTCGGCTGAGTCGTCGTCTGACAGTAAATTCCACGTTACTGTTGGAGACGACGCTCCTCCGCATCACATGTTCCACCACTATGTTAAATAATAGAGGTAAAGCCACCTCTCCTTTACGCACTGTACTCTTGATGTTAAACCAGTGCGACCACGACGACTCTTACTACAGCGTGATGACGCCTGTAGTATTTTGTATGGTCCTTGTAGCAGACTGATGATCTTCTGCGGTACTCCACAGTGCCTCAGAATGCCAAAACAAGGACGGACGATGTACGGAGTGGAATGCTCTTTGAAAGTCGAGAAATGCAGCATACAAGGGTAGCTGAAAGTTCCTTGCCTTTTCTATTATCTTTTTTAGTACAGCGATGCATCATAATTAGAATGGTAACGACAATTCGTTTCGCAATGAAACCGATTACCTATCATGCACCTTTCCGTCCACGGCTAACGTGTTCACCTGTTTCAATGCGTTTTCATAACTGGTTTACACTTATAGTTATCTTTGTTGAAGGAAGTTATAATTTCTTACAAAGTAGTTATCTTTCTATTAGCGTATCAAACGGAAAGAGGATGATGATGGTTGTTTACATGGAACGAAAGCTTGAAATCCTAAATTGACTAGATGAAAGAGAAACCGCACTAAAAGTGGTAGAAGGCTATACCATGTGAGATTTTCCTATTGGACGAGGGAAAGATGCAAAATTGAAAAATTTTGTTCTTCTAGCGCTTCTGAGAGACTTGTTTGCAAAGTAAAATGTTGGTTTACACCAATATGGCCTCAGAGAATATCGATAACCATAGTAATTACACTGAGGTATGCGGTATTGTTGCGCCAGCCCCTTGCCTCTAAACATCTACGGGAAATCACTTAATCAGCTGGCAGTCCTTATATGCCATTGAACATATCAAAGTAAGGTAGGAACCAGCCACTTTCGCCGTCAAACTCATAACTGTACTCAAGCAAAACGCACACTCGTTGCATCCTTGATAACTCTTGTTTACCACTGCGAAATCAGTGGTTTTCTGCAAAGTTCATCTTGTGCTAAATGCGACCATTAGGTTGAGATTTTTTTTTTACTTCATGTGTTAACAGTTGAGCTGATGTTGACCATCGTTCCTTTATTTATCTTATCCTATGTCCTCTGCGTTTCTCCGATGTCCTCTGTTCTCTGTCTGTACCACTGATTAAGCAATTCGACCACCTGATCGTACCAGCATGCTTTTGGACGACCAGCTGGGCAGTGGACGGTAGTTCAGCAGGTCTAAGTCAGTGAATTTTGATGTCCACCGATTGTCCCTTTAAAATCAGTTAGCCCAACGTCTCTTGAAGTTGCAACAGGAAGAGATCACTTCCGTTAATCCAGTTTTTTGTCGAATTTGAGCTGTGGCAATGTGAGGGAGAACTCAAACATCCCTCGTTGCGTGGCTTTCCGCATGGCTGTCAGTTTGTTCTGATCATCTTTTCGGCTTTGCCACCAGAGCATTATTAAGCGCCGTGGATCATAGCGAATAAAAGAGTTTTGTCGAGAACTTCTTTCGCATTAGCATTCCACTGTCAAATAACATCTTTTTTAATGAGACTTCGTTTTGTTCTGTATTTTCACTCACTCCACTTAATGAGGATAACTGAGACTCTGTTGTAACGTCTTGTGGTTTCTTGTTGTCTTGATTAGGAAAATTTCAATAATAATGATATTGTTCATTTTCTCCTAATTGATGATTACGGTTCTATCAAGGCGTCTGAAACCCGAAACGCTGCGCATGTTTCGATGTCTAGCAGTAATAATCGGTAACTATTAGCACTGGACATTCAAAGAGAAGGGACATTATTTTGGATTCCTGAAGTTGTGTAAGATTATATAAACTTTTGCTGCACTTTTAACCATGCTTACCATCTATTAATCCGCGAATGCTGCTTCCTACTGAATCATTAGTAATCTTTGTTGATGTCCAAAACTCGAACACTGCTCTCACGTCCTTCGTCACACGAAACAACAAACACGAAAGGAACAACTTAATGAGGACAAGGAAAACTAGAGGCTTGTCAGGTGATAAAGTGATAAAATTTTATTGATAAATGCGATTTGTTCACAATAAATAGCTTAGATCAATCGAAGTCGATGATAACAGATCTGATCACGTTTAATAACGCATGAATTATGTTGGAAACGACCAAAGCGTCAGCTATCAGTTTATCATCATATTGTTCACTTGTATAGAGACAAAACAAGATCGCGATGTTCCCGTCAGCTACTCTATAGTGGCTTTCCAGTTCCACCGTTAATCTCTCGGTAACATTTCAATTTCTGATGCCACATCTACTCGGTGTAGGCTCACTGCTTCTTGCTTCTAGATTTTGTGGGGGGACTATGCGAAGAATGTAGAGCCGTCTCTCTCCTAATTGGACTGATCAAGGGTACGTTCAAGCATCAACTGTATCTGCGACTAACTGTCATGCAAATGCATAAACAAGACGTACCTCGACATACCACGACAACTGCTTCATAGCGGCTCTTCTTTTCCGCAGATAATCATGATATTTCTAATTCTGATACCGGATTTACCCGGCTTAAATCCGCTTATGATATCGTAGGAATGATTGAATATGTGGCAGGATTTTATACGCCAGAAGCCTCAGTGTGGTTAGGAGGAGGTGATAATCTCGTAATCTTTGTAGTGAAAATTTATATACAGATCCGATATTATCGGTCATACCGTGTTTAGAGCAACGATAAACTGGTAAGAAGACTTGACAAGCAAATTTTCATAGATAGGTTTGTACGCATGTGGCATTCTTCACAAATTCCCGGTGTTTCTGATTTTTGGAGAGCAGAATATGTGAATATCATGTGCCAGGGACCATAACATGGGCAACGTATTGGTGACGGTAATGAAAAACCTTAATCAGAGATGGCGCACAAGACTGAAGCTTCGACCACAGCTATGGTTCGAAACGATAATTGATGTGAAAGGATATGATCGACTAGATGATAGGTCGAGGGAAACAGGATTCATTGCTGATTGGTGTTACGCATCAAAGGCCATGTCACCTTGGACGATGGCCGTTGGAAAACGACAATCCAACGCCATTCTAGGTAGAAGAGTGAATGAAGGGCAAAATAAGAGGCAGATCAAGTATCGATCAAGAATCGGCTCCTCATCCATGCTGCGGAAATCGAACTTACTTCAGTGAAGCCCTTACGTTCAATGCGTATTGAGGGGGTACATAATAGCACCAGAAAGAAATGATTTTATTCTATTCCGGAAACAGGTGACCTTGGCATATAATCAGGAGCAACAAACTACAAGCAGATAGGTATCTGTGCTATAGCATGGTGCTCTAGCACCTGCGGAGCAGGCATGTACTGTTAGCGTATGACTGTCGTTGAAGAGTAGACTACTTAAAAGATCTTTTGGGTGACTGGAAACAAGAGGACGATGCGGTTATGCTGTACGAGTTCAGAAAACTGACCCGCAAATGTCTATTATCATTAATGCTGTAGTCTGCTGAAAAGCCCTCAGGCAACTACGAGCTGCAAAATCTGATGATTATAGGAGTCAAGCCCTTGCTGAAAGGCTCCAGTATGTGAACCCATGTTTCTGAATATTTTCATTATCCATTACGAAATTTCACGTATTATGGCTGCGCCGTGAACAGAATTCAACGCTTCTTCAATATTGTCCATTTTTTGCCTTGTTTCCACTGCTGACCACGTAATTTGACCATCGGATAATGCCAATATGTCTTTTTGACCACCGATTCAACGGTTTGTAATCCAGCGGAGCAAAGTTTGCAGTTCCTGACTTTCACTGGTTGTCTTTCAGGTGAGCCACCTGACTGGCCAATCATCTCTTGACGTCATAAAAGGCAGAAGTTTTAGTTCAGCTATATTTTAGTTCAGCTCGGAACATGATCCCTGAGGGTCGTCTGAACATTTTTCGCTCAATCGTTCCTCGCGTGACCATTAGTTTGTTCTATTTGGCTTTAATAGCAGACCAACGTTCATTATCATTTAGATGCTTATTACTTTATAAATACATAAAAATAACCCAGGTATTCTTGATGTACTAGCCAACAGCTTGTTTACTGTACTGTCGATAAGAAGATCAATCTTCTGCCAAATCTCAAATTTTACATGGCGTAGTCGCACTGTTTCTTTAGGGTAGGGTACCTTTTAAGCATGCCAAGGCTCCATGATATCTTAGCACCTGAAGTTCTTATACGTAAAATCGCATATCGTACCCATACGAATACATATGCCTTCTGGATGAAAGGTTAATCGAACTGATTGAGTCAAAGTTAACAGCTTATTTGGTATTGGGAGAGACATAATCAGCTGATTGGACTTCGTGGTCGACGGATATGGGGATCTACACTGCAGGGCATGCTAGTGCTGAGTCACGGGAGGCCATCTGAATTAGCATTAGCTTAACGAAGCATTGAGTCACCGTCGAATATAACAGACAGACTGGTTTGAAGAACAAACGATGGCTAACGTACCGCCGATCGGTGTCCTGTAGCACCTATAAATCCATAATGCGTTTCTACTGATCACAGTGACATCTCCGATGATCTTCGCTTTTATGTTTAACATCATGTCCTGTGTTTAATCACATTTAAATCAGCATGCGACTTCTTTCTGTCTCATGGAAATCACAAGCTGATTAAGACCTTTCTTATGAAATTTAGAAAATCCGAAATTCGGG